TATCACTGGTAGCTGGCCATTGGTATCACTGGTAGCTGGCCATTGGTATCACTGGTCCTTGGCGGAAATGTGTTGCGGTGGGCTTCCGAGTTTGCTGGCTTCATCGAAGGAACAACAATCTTCTTATTTGTTCACCGGCTGTAAGTTCAGCGGAAAGTCCTGGTTGTCTGTGTGCACCTAGGCTTTGTTCCAGGGCCTGAACTTGGCGTCTATCACCATGTCACTGACTTAGTTGTGTGCACCTAGGCTTTGTTCCAGGGCCTGAACTTGGCGTCTATCACCATGTCACTGACTTTGTGTGCACCTGGCTGTTCCTTGTCGCTCGAGCAGATCCACGCCAACTTTCAGGAAGCTCCCAGTTAGTCGACTCCTACGACATGCGTGTTGGGGACGTAGTGGATATACTCTTGTTTTCCACACCAAAAGGTCGCGGTACCCACACATGGCAATCAGTTTATAAAAGCGTTTGGTTATAATTGTGATCTTTATATGGTGTCCCTTTCGATGAGTGTGCTTTATTTTTGAATTCCAATTGTGTATTTTTTGCTGAAATCCTGTACTCCCTATTCCCTGCCCTACAGGACCACAGTTTGAAAGATTAACATCTTCAAGGATGAGAACCAAGCAGGTACAAATCCCCGATTACCTACCTGTTCAGTTGTGACAACCATCTCGGGGGGTACCCGACGATCACACAGTCACATGAAGACGGGCTGGACTGGGAAGTAAGTATCGCCGTGTGAATTTTTTTGCCTTTATATATTGTGGACTATGCGCGAGGTTGTCTTGTGTCCATTTCTTTCTTCTTCTTTTTTTTTTAAATATTTATTTATCTATTTTAATCTTCTTCTTCGAAATTTCGGGGGAGGGGGGGGGGGGGGAAGGGGGGGGGGGGGGGGGGGGGGGGGGTGGGGGGGGGGGGGGGTTTCAGGGGTGGGGGTGGGGGGGGGGGGGGGTTTCATCAAAATTATCTCCTTCCATCTACTCCATTTACTCTCTATTTTATCTATTTTAATCTTCTTCTTCGAAATTGGGGGGGGGGGGGGGGGGGGGGGGTGGGGGGGGGGGGGGGGGGGGGGGGGGGGTTTCATCAAAATTATCTCCTTCCCTCTACTCCATCCCCATCATGTCCTTAAATGTGAAGAAGAAATTTATAAGTCGAATTTCGGTTAAGTCGTCAGGACCAGCTCAGTCCCGGCAATGTTCTCTATTGTGTCTGCTGTCTGGATAAGTAGAAATCCTGATAAGTGGAAGCATTTTCTTAGGTCCCTGTGACTTCTACTTATCCAGACTCGTCTGTATTTGGTTATTAATATTTATTGTCATTTTTAATCTTCTAAATTAATGTGATTTTGTGGATGAATGTATGCCGCAGTCAGATTAAGTTACAAGTCCACAGTTTCCCCATTTTCAAAAAGGCGAGTTTTATATTGGTGATACCTGTAGTAATTTTTTGGCGGGAGAAGGGGAGTTTGGGTTGTCTTCTGCTCGATCTAATGAATGTTCCAAGATAATAATTTCTCCATTTACTTTGTACTGTTTGTTTATTTTTGAATGTGATCGTTAGATATGTTTTTTTTTTAATATTCATCACATCCCTTGTTGCTAGATACGCATAAAAAGATAGCCATCAGGATTGAATGATGACATAAATGAACAAACAGTATTAATGCAGTGTTCAACAAATATGTTTATTTGTTAACAACGAACAAGAATGTATCAGATGTTCTGAGGCGGGATTGGTAGCTAGCTCTAGTACCCTGTGGATGTAGGAGATATATATTTGCTCGTTAGTGGTAACCTGAGACAGTTAGCTAACGAATACACGAACAAGTCTGTTAGCAACACACACACACACACATACACACACACACTCACTCACACACACAGACTCACACACATACTTTCATAATTGTATAATACAATCCGGGTTTAAATCACACGCTCATTACACACAAACAAACATACATCTAAATGTACACAAAACTGTTCTGCCTACGGCGCGTTCGTCTGAAACCCATTCCAGGAGTTCGATTATGTAAGCATGATTGAAACATCAAAAGGTGTCGCATGATTAAGCAAAGCATTCATTTTAAATGAATTTCGTACCATGAGTTGATCAAAAAACGTCACCAAGTGTATCGAGGCAAGAATCCCACTGCTTAGCTAGGTGCTAAATGCTGTCGGCAACACAAGACAGTAACACAAGACAGTAACACAAGACAGTAACAAAACAAAATTGGTAATAGGCTGCTCACTAAATCATGCTCACTTAATGATGATGATCGGGAAATCCCGGGGTACTTCTGTAAATACACCTTCTGATATATTGCTTTTAGTGAAAAGGGCGACAGGCTGAAGAGGGGAAAATCATCGCTAGGTCGGGCAGAAGATGTTATTAGGCAAATATGCAGCCTAATCGACAATACCTCTGGTGCAGAGTGGATACCTGTGCCTCCTGTGTTTATTTGTACATTTTACTGTATTGCCACACTCAACAGGCGATGCAGAGAAGAGAATCCTGTTGCTGTTAATACAGAGGTCAACGCTCTCATTAGTGAAAATTCAGACCAAGCAGATGCACTAATCAACAAAGACGGATCCGTTATACGCCCCCCCCCCCAAAAAAAAGGCGCATGGACATTCACACCACGCTCAGCGGGCAGAACAGTCAAAGAAATGGACAACCAGCAGCATGACGATAGAGGTGATGGTAGTGACGCAAGCGTTTGCCTGGCTCGAGACATAAAACTACACCCGCGTACGTATACTCAGTGATTCAATGAGTATGATCCGGAGAGTTGAGGCAGGTTCGGTGCGAAGACAATGGCTTGAATCATTACAGAAGTCCACTGAGCGTGGAGTCACCTTTATTTTTGTTCAGGGATACGTAGGCGTCGATGGAAATGAAAGAGCTGATAGGTTGGCTGGATCCGCTATCACTACCGACTGTCAGCCTAAGGATCATGCTGATATTATTAATGCCCTCAGATAAATGGGAAGGATAGAGGACTTTGTGGGCAGTGAATCCACATCACTCGCCAGAATGGCAGACGAGAATTAAGATCGGCATAGCAAAAAACGAGAAGCACACCAGACACGCCAGAAGACTTGTTAATCAACACAGAACTGGTACTATTAGCCATCGGACGTTGGGGTTCATACTGAGGGGAGGATCTGAGCACCTATGGACATGTCCGGAGTGCAATGTTGATAACCCAACTAACTAGCTAACTAACCTTCCGATATTGCAGTTTCTCACAAACGACCGTTTGCTCTGTCCCATTGGACCAATTGAATTCTTTTACCACAGAAAGTAAACTTCGATAACGGTTTGCCGAAGACCTGGTTCAGCTGCGTCGCTGCATCAGTTATGGTTTCTTCTGCGGCATCAGTATGCGTCTGACCCAACCATGGAAGACCTGTTTGTGCACTCACGTCCTTTCTTGAGGGTTAAGGTTTGAACAACGGATCAACATCATGGCACACGGGTAGTAACCCATAAGTGCTCCGTTCTTTCTTCTAACTCAAATCTGAGTCCGAAGAAGCTCAGCACAGTGCACAGACTCTGTAGTACCGGCAGACGTCCTTTCTAAAACATTCGTGTCCAGTCTATCACTGTTGTCTTCGAAACACTTTCTAAACCGTTCCCTGCCTGCGTTCTTCAACGAATGTCGACTGGTTGGCATCCTTCAGATAAAAAACGAATCACAGCTCTTAGAGCTTTTTATGGAGGATTTTTGATCAATCCGGTCATTTTCCAGACGGTTAAAAACAGAACATATACATCGTGGGACGATAAGCACATGATCTTTTATGGATTGGTCAGTACTTATCATATGGTCTGTGGCTAAAGTGTTGCTCACGCGCTTCGTAAAGTCAGGGTGCCGGGTTCGATCCCTGCTGTGGGCCTTGCGTTGGTTTCGACAGTGGTATCGAGACGCCGACCGTCCAGAGAGCAATGGTAAACTACTGGACGTAAATTTGTCCAGAAAAACCACAGACAATGCTTCGGTTGGTTCTGCAACGTCCTGCAAAGGATACGCAACTAACACAGCTTATCATCTGACTAGGATAAGATATGCTCAACGTACGTAATACAGGCGATGCGGCACACAAGAGTTTCAAATGCAGCCCTCTCATATGTATTTATGTATATGCATACATACACATACACACACACATACACATACATACACATACACGCATACCTATATATGTAAAAAACGCCGACTGAGGGTCATATACTCGTGCACGTAATCCGTCGCGTCTTCATATACTCGTGCACGTAATCCGTCGCGTGGTCATATACTCGTGCACGTAATCCGTCGCGTGGTCATATACTGGTGCATGTAATCCGTCGCGTGGTCATATACTGGTGCACGTAATCCGTCGCCTGGTCATATACTGGTGCATGTAATCCGTCGCGTCTTCATATACTCGTGCACGTAATCCGTCGCCTGGTCATATACTCGTGCACGTAATCCGTCGCCTGGTCATATACTGGTGCACGTAATCCGTCGCCTGGTCATATACTCGTGCACGTAGTCCGTCGCCTGGTCATAAATCTCTTTTGGTTTCGTCAATTACAGGGACGGACGAAGAATGTTCGTCCATCTTGTTTGTTTACAGCGGAAGTATGTCTACATTAAAACTTCCTGGGCACATGCTTCATACTTCCCATGTTTCCAGTCTACCGAGTACTCAGTATGTAATGCTGCTAATACAGCGACAGTCGCCTTTATTTCCCCACTGTCTCTGGTTACTCATGATGTTTCGATGGATGTGGATGCCAGTGTCAATGTCTAACATATCCCCGCCTCGAGAGGGATTCGAACCATTAGCGCCTGCAACTAGGAGTTCAGGCACTTTGAAAAGCTTCTAAGACGACTCAGCCCCTTTACCTGCCCCCGCCGATTCCCCCAACTCCCAAAAGAATGATTTCTCTTCGTGTCGTGTTCCCCCCCCCCCCCCCATGTATACAAAGGTTTGAGACTTAC